TCCTCATTTCCATTTCAGAAGATTTGTCGCTGATATACAGGAATGCCTTTGATTTATGAGTGTTGATTTTATATCCTGCCACTTTTCTAAATTCACTTATTAGCTCTAGTAGTTTCTTTGTAGACCCTTTTGGGTCTGTTAGATATATTATCATATCATCCGCATATAGTGATAACTTCAGTTCTTCTTTTCCTATTTTTATGCCTTTAATTTCTTTTGTCTGTCTAATTGCTCAGGCTAGTATTTTGAGGACTAAATTGAATAGAAGTGGTGAGAGAGGGCATCTACCAAGCTTTTAATCTCATGAGGGTCTGGTTTTCTGATGGGTTCCTTATCTTAGAGTAGCATAGCCTTTTTTCCCACTGAAGTCCATAACTCTATTACTACTTTAGAAGAATGCCCTCATAGCAGAACCAGTTTCTCTTAACTCAGATCTTGGAGTATCTGCCTCCATATAGATTGTGCCTTGATCAATCTGAAGCTTTTAAGATTGAGTGTGTGACATTGTAATGATTTCAGTGGATATTTATGTCTGGTTAACTTGAAAGTTAGTCTTTTTCTGTTTTCTGAGATGTTGTTTTAAAAGGGATTTGTCACCTTGTCTCACAGTGTGAATGCATGTAAGCTTGTTTTCTTTATTAAGAAATGTGAATTGTTTTTTGTATTCAGATTATGGATTGTTAACAACACCCCAGCTGCACTACATGGTATGTTGTCGAAATACCAGTGGCCAGTATGGAATGGCAACCATAGAAGGTTACTACCAGAAACTCTCCAGGGCTTTTGTGGAACTTACCAAACAGGTGAAAAAAAAACTTTTGAACATGCTTAGAAGTTAAACAACCTGAATAACATGATCAGTGAAACAAATGACATTTTGGCACCCCACTCCTTTCTTTTCCCCAAATGTGGCTTATCTCTGTTTCTCTCTAGGGCTCCACAAGTCTGTGTGCCTTCTAACTCTATGTTGGTATTTGCTTGGCAAGGCACATAGTATATTTTTGAGATCATTGAGGGAGAAAATGTAGGGTTCTTGTTTACAGTTATCATAAGTATTTATGGAGATAAAGTTGAGTGTTGTAGGCTTAGTACTTAAGAAATTAAGGAGGTAGTACTGTTGGGAAACATTTTCTTCTAGGCATATAAGCTTGTTAAACCTGGAGAGATTTGAGGGGAATAATTCATTTGATTAACAAATACTGAGTTAATGGCATAGTTTAACCAAAGCAAAGCAAAATATAACATTTCTATTTTGGGGTTAGGATGGGTGGCAGAGGATATGGACAGTTTAAGAAAACAAAATATACCTGCTAATGATATATGCTTGAAGAAAGTGACACAGTTGTTATTACTGTTCTTTCATCTATATGTATATATAGATTCTCACATTTGAATGACTGTTATGTAATATAGGCTATAGTGTTTTTAGGGAACCTTTACTCAGGCAAATTCTAATAAAGCTTCATTTCTACAAGTTGTTCAATTGGTGAACCTATTCCAGTGTCTAGGGTGTTTTTAAATTTTATTTGGCTTTTCAGTTTTCATCTGAATGTATTTTACTTCAGTTTACCTGGTTAAAATAGATAAGTAAATGGAAATAATGGAAGATGTTTTATCATATATGTATGTATGCTTTCTTTTATTTCACTTTTAATTTTGTAACTTGAAAATTTTCTTCCATGTCTTTTTACTTTCCAGGCTTCCTGCAGTGGAGATGAATATAGATCACTTAAGATTGACTGTGCAAATGGCATAGGGGCTTTGAAACTGAAAGAAATGGAACACTACTTCTCACAGGGACTGTCAGTTCAACTCTTTAATGATGGGACCAAAGGGAAGCTCAATCATTTATGTGGGGCTGACTTTGTAAAAAGTCATCAGAAACCTCCACAAGGTATGTAGTAATAGGTCTATAAAAACTATTTTGAGAACTGGAACCAGTCTCATTTACAAACCAAGATGGCCACTTGTATTAAGAATTCTGTAACTGTAGGGCGCTGATGATACATGCCTGTTATCTCAACTAGTAGGCTGAGGCAGGAGAAATACAAGTTCGAGGCCAGTCTCAGCAAGTTAGTGTGACTCTAAACAACTAGCTCGACCCTGTCTCAAAATAAAAAATAAGAAGGTCTGGGGAGGTAGCTCAGTGGTAAAGTGCCCCTCAGTTTAATCACTGGTACCCCTGCCCCCCCAAAATTGTGGAGCTGGTCCTGGCTCTGTCACTTTTGGATACTTATGACTCTTCCTACTTGTCATTGCCATTCAAAACATGGTCTGCTCTTTTTGCCTGTAAGTCATACCCATGCTCAGAGTCCTCCTTCCTGTAGGAAAGAGGAAAGGGAAAGCATAGCCAGAGAGTGCCATTCTAGAGCAATGGTTCTCAAATATCAGCACACATTAGAATCTTCTTGTTAGCCTGAAGATTTCTGGGCCCCATTCCTGAGCTTCTGATTTGCTGGATTTAGGGTAGGATTTGCTTAGGATAGAAATTTGCATTTCTGTCAAGTTTCTGGGATTTGATGAAAGTGCTGGTCTCTTGACCACACTTTGAGAATCACTGATCTAAAGGTAGCAATAGTAAGTAGCATTGTCTCTCCTTTTGTCTGCATTAGATACACTTTGGAAAGGGAAGGTAACACTGCTTCTGTAATTGTCCTTGGACTTAGGGTTTTCCACAGTGGGCAAGTTAGGAGGAAGACTGTTCTTCAGATTGTAGTGATAGTGTAGAGATGTTCTAGATTTATCTTCATTATAGATCCTAAATTATTATCCTACAGTAGGCCAAATATGGCTTGCAGATTGTTTTCCTTGGTCTGCTAAGTTTGCCCACATATTAAATTGCATTAGGTGCCACTGTGTAAAAATTTAGTGATTTCTTTTAAATATTGCTGTCAACTCTTTACCAAAATCACAAAATGTCTATTCACGTGTCATTAATCTATTGTTACCCCTTCAAATAGGACATTCAGTCTTGAACTCTACACACTTCACATAGTTGTGGCACTTGTTCATTTATTCTGCTTTACTCTATTAAGCATTTGAAGTTTCAATTTAGTCAACCCATTTGATCCCCTTTTCACTGAATTGCTTATTTTGACTTTACTGACGCTTTAATTCTGTATCATTCATTAATTCTGTATCACTCATTTATCCACATACTGAATACTGAGCCCTCACTCTCCATTGTTCTAGGCACTGGGCCCTTAAGTGTTCATAAAACAATAGCCCTCGTTTTCCTGAAGCCTACATTTTGTCCTGTAGGTAACCTTTTATCACACTCATGACAAAGCCTTTCACTTCTGAGCTGCTTCATGCTAACTTTCTTACTCTGCTGCTATCAAGGCTAAGGAACAGCCAGATTTTCTAGTAAATTTGACGGGATAGTTGCTAAACTTTAAGTAACTTTATGTAAATTTCACGAGCCAGTTTTCTCTCACAGATGATAATTCTTTGCTTTAATAGTGTATGTTGTTATTGGTGTTATGAAAAGATAAAAACTTCTATTAGAACTGTCAAAGCATATACCTCATTTATTACTGATTTTTTTTAATATGTAAAGGACAGCACAGTACTGGATAAATTATATTCAGAAATCCCTGTAGCTTTCAAAACAAGTTAAATGAGAAACCAGTGTAGCCAAAATGAAATTTTAATATTATAGCAAGTTAACCATAAATAGATTTTGTTCCTTTTTCAATATGCTTAGAAAGAATTTTACCTGTAAAAACTGCCAATGAACTGGATGCTATTTAAATTTTTTTTTAATAAGGATAATTTTAAACATCTTTTGGAAAATTTATAGTAGACATGTTATAATGCATAAGGGCAGTTTCACTCATGCTTTATTGAAAAAAGTTTCCCTAGTTACTAGTGAAGACAAAAACCCCAAACTTATTTTTATTTTGATTTTCATTCCCATTTCTTGGACTGAAATGCATATTCAATCTTTCTTTGTGCTAGGAATGGAAATAAAGTTCAATGAAAGATGCTGTTCCTTTGATGGAGATGCAGACAGAATTGTGTATTACTACTGTGATGCTGATGGTCATTTTCATCTCATAGATGGAGACAAGATAGCAACATTAATTAGCAGCTTCCTTAAAGAGCTCCTGTTGGAGGTATGATAGGGAATGGGCTGCCCTATAAAACCAGAGGTAGTTCTGTATCACTTACTTGGATGTCTCATAGGCACAATTTATGGCAAGTTCTTTATGTATGTGGCCAAAAAATACAAAGAAGATGTGGTAATTACAGTCATTTCAACATTGGGGCATTGGTTTTGAAACTTAAAGTTTCTCTTTTCTTCCTGGTATAAGCTAGGATTTATGATTTGAAGTTTTATGAGGTTATAAAGTTTTCATTTTTTCTTAACTGACACATTAGTGATAATTCTACCAGTTAGCCTTAAAGCCCAAAATTCTAACAGAAAATATCATCTGAGATTTATTTATTATGATTATAAGCTTAGTAATGTGTGAGATCCCCCACTTTTTGGAAATCTCTTTCACTAAGTTTAAGATATAATCTGGAAAAGTATATTTAAGAACTTAATACATAATTTTATTAAAAATTTAAAGAGAGAGAGATTAGGAGACCACAAACTTATTTAAAGATGATTCCTTTTAAGTAATGCTGAAAAATATTTGAGGTTTTTTTCCTGGTATACATGTAAAATTTCAGTATGTCATTTATTGATTCAGCAGAAATGGCAGATAATTTTGTTATCCTTTAGAATTCTCACTGTTTTTGTAAACTATGCTTTTGATCTCAAATTATTGTTTTTATCTAGATTGGAGAAAATTTGAATGTTGGGGTTGTACAAACTGCATATGCAAATGGAAGTTCAACACGCTATCTTGAAGAAGTTATGAAGGTATTGAACCATTTTCATTTTCTGGTAGCTTCTTAATTATGCTGTAAACTACTTCTGTGAAGAAAATAATGTCTTCATGAAAGTAAACACATTGTCGTGTATAAAGTTGAGCTGTTGTCCATGTAAGGGTAAACAGAAATCAAAAACAAGCAAAAAACTTATTTGTTCCTGATGGAAAAGGGAGAGGAGAGACTTTCTCTATTCCTCATCTCAGAACCAAATAAGCCAGTTTTATAATCAGTAATATTTTTCTTAAGGGCTTGGAGACATCTCAAAATAAGAAAAAAAAAAGAAGAAGAAACTATTAAGGAAGACAGCACCTCTGCCCCCAATCTCATAGTTTAACTTAGATCTCTGGCTCCAACTTGTAACTGTTCCTCAGAGAGATAGAAATAGTTTGTTGTTGTTGTTGTTGTTGTTTTGTTTTTAATTGGTTCTTTTTAGTTATATATGACAATAGAATTCTTTTTGACATAACTATTAAAGCATGGAATATAATTTGTTCTAATTCAGTCCCTAGTGCTTTTCCTTCCTCTCAGAAGCAGTTTTATTATCTCTTTGGATAAAGGCAGTTGGTCAACACAAATGGTTAATTACTAGGTAAATTTATGATGACCTTTTCATGACAAATGGTGTTACTCCTATTTGAAGACTAATAATAATGAAAAAATTATTCACAACACTTCTTAAAATGATTAAAGCAGATTTTATTTAGTTCTGCGGAGGGACTGCTCAGAGATTGCTGTGATGAAATTGTGTAGTGGTTTAGGTCAACTCCAAATACAATGGAGAGAGGTGGAGATTTTATAGCTAAGGTGAAGGGTATATGTGTGGAGTGCTAGTGCTGGTCAGTGATGGAAAGTTACTGAGAAAAAACATGGGAAAAGGGGGATGTTCTGGCTAAATGAGATTCCTCATGTAGGCAGGCCAAGATGATCAGACATCTCCTGGGGAATGGTGGGGAATGAGGACTTTGATCAGATATCAAAGTGAGGAAATTCTGTCTGTATTAAGTGGGATTATTGCTAAAATTGGGCTCTTAGAGGACATGTTAAGGGACAGTGCCTAGTTGTACTGAAAGGAACCTGACCAAAAAAGAAGAAAATCTTTGTTACTTTTTATGTTGGGAACATGGAATGTTGTAAAATTGAAAATATCTACTTAGCTATATTAAAAGGTAGACTTTGTCTTTGCAATCTCCTTAGTAACTTGCCTATACATGTGAGCATCAAAGGCCTTAATGAAACTGTTAGCGTTGATTGATCTTGTTTCTAATTATTTCCTCAACATCTACCTCATGGCACCCTCTGTACCCCACTACATATTCTAAGAGGTAGGGGGTTCATGGACAGAATTAGAAGTCTGTTGCCATTACCCTTTTTATAACTAGCTAGAGTAATATTTTTCTAACTTTTGTGTTACCCATTTCAAATTCTGGTAGGATCTGGATAGCTGAAGTGAATGTGCACAGCAGGTGGTTAAGGACTAGAGGTGTACCCAGGCCAACAGCTGTCAGCTTTAGTCAGATTCTTTTAAGTGGAATATGAATTTTCACGTGAATTTATTTTTTTAAAAGATATAATGGATACGCAAAGCAAAGTGGACACTGCTAGTTCATGACCTGATTTAAGTATACAGTTATAGTAAACTTGATCTGGAGCCCAGCTGCCTATCTTTAAGGATTCTTAGTATTTAGGTATTCTTAGTATTTATTTAAGGATGGGGATATGTTCTGAGAAATTTGTCAGTGTGTCATTTAGGCAAAATATGTTGAGTGTACTCAATGCAAACTAAGATGGCTACAATGTCACTGGGTGACATAATCTTATGGAACAACTGTAGTAGATGCAGTCTGTTGACAAAAATATCATCATGTGTTGCACAATCATATTTTAACTGTCAATTTATGTCTTAAAAATGTCTTAAAGGTAAGGTACCTGTTATAAAACTGAATACACATCAGAAACCCACTCTCTTTGGATTAAATATTTTTAGCCTTACTGTTCCTGAGCTCTGCTAAGACAAATGTGGATCTTGATGTCTCTTTTGTAGTTTTGCTATGGTCAGTTCTTCTACCATTCTTAAATCTCTACTCATGACATCCCTATCCATTGTTGCTAGTCCAATCACTATGATTTCTTACTGGGATTGATCCTGGAAACCTCCTAACTGATCCTGTTTCTTAACCTTAAGCCAGGAGTTGGCCTGAGAACCAAATCTAGTTTGCTACTGTTTGTAAATAAAATTTTATTTGTATAGAATCTTGTACAATTGTATGGTTCCTGGCTGCTTTTACACTACAATGGAAGAATCAAATAGTTGTGAGAGACATTATGTCTACAAAGCCTAAAATATTTGCTATCTGGCCCTTTACAGGAGAAGCTTGCAAACCCCTGCTATAAGCCGTTTTCTCCATACTGTAGCCTAAACAGTTTCATAAAGCAATTAGATCACATAGTGACCTCACTTGAAGTCTATTGTTATCTTATTAGGACACCCTCAGCTTTGTCACTTTGCTATGAGTTTCTAGTGCCTTCACTCCCCCATACTGACACTGTTTTGTATTTTAGTGCTTAATCATCTTCCTTACTAGACTAAGGTCCAGATTTTGTTCTCTGTTTTATCCCTGAGATAGTAGGTATATAATAAACATTTATTGCGTTTCCTTTCATGTGTGTATTACAGGTACCTGTTTACTGCACTAAAACCGGTGTAAAACATTTGCACCACAAGGCTCAAGAGTTTGACATTGGAGTTTATTTTGAAGCAAATGGGCATGGAACAGTAAGTTCTCAAAGATCACATCTGGCCTTAGCTGGTACTTTTCTTTATAATGGGAAAGTTTTATCTGGGTAGTAATAGCTAATATTCTACTTTGTTGAAATGACTAGATGGAGGTCATAAGATTATTTGGTTTGTGTATATTTTCAGGTGTTGCAAAACTGTTTCTCTTTTAGATTATAATGATCTTTTGTGGAGAGATACACTAATTTGTTCTTTTAATAATATGTAATACTTTATTTTCTTATAAGCAGATTATCTTTATATTTTCCTTTCACTAGCCATAGGAGGAAAAAGTTCAGTAGCTGTGGTGAATTAAGAGTTATAATTTGAGGAATTGAGTTTAGTATTTTTTAAAATATATTTTTGGTTGTTAATGGATACAATATCTTTATTTTTATATGGTGCTGAGGTTCAAACCCAGTGCCTCACACATGCAAGGCAAGTGCTCTACCACTGAGCTATAGCCTCAGCCCCGAGTTTAGTTTTTTAATGGGTTTTTGTGGGGGATACTGGGGATTTTGAACAGGGGTGTCCTACCTCTGGGTATACCCCCAGCACTTTAGTTTTTGAGATAGGGTCTCACTAAATAGCCCAGGGTAGCCTCAAACTTGCAAGTCTCCTGCCTCATTGCTAGGATCATAGGCATGTGTCATCATGCCTGACTGTTTTTATGGCTTAGCAGAAAGAATATTTTGAAAAATTTTGACAAAATTCACATTTCATAAAATCCACCATTTAAAGTGGGTTTTAGATTCCTGAGACACAGGATTTTTGTTTAAAGCCTAAATGAATTTGAGGTGGTAAAAAGAAAATTTGAATCTAGGTGCAGTCATTTTCCTCATTAATTCAAAGTTGCCTTCTGGAGGCCATAAGTATAAGGAAAAGAATGAGAATAATATGTTTCTACAAAATGCAATTAAGATATAACTTCACTGATCTAATGCAGAGGTTGGTAAATGGTTAAGGGTAGGTAGAAAATAGTTTCAGCATTGTAAGCCATAAGGTCTCTGTGGGAACTGCTTAGGGCTGCTTCTCTAGTATAAATTAATGGGTATGACTGAGTTCCTATAAAAACTATTTACAAAACAGGCAATCAGCCTATATCTTATTTTACCAACAAATATGTATCTCATCAACAAGTCGAGCATAGTGTGTTACTCCTCCTCAGTACTGGGCTTCTTGTGGACTACAAAAGATTGGGTAGACATTTCAAAATAACAGGAATCTTGAACATGTTTATTATTGATAATCTGTGACACAATCTGCCATACTGTGATAAATGAGCATTTTTTCTCATGTTGCTTAGCTAGTTATCCTTTAAAGGATATAGGCAAGCTTAAGTAACCCGCATTGCTTTCACTGATACAGGGGAAAACAGAATCAACTCTTATGTATTTTTTTTTTCTAACAGTGCCAGAGATTGAACCAAGGCTTCACACATCAGGCAAGGCTCTACCACTGAGCCACATTCCCAGCCTGATAACCAGTTTTATCATGCACAAACTTTTCTCCTATTAATACACTTCAGATTTTGATCTTGAATTAATTAACATAAAGCTGGCATTATTTTCCCCCTTAGTTTCTCCAGATTCACTTACAGTGCAGTCAGTTACCTAACATGATATTACTTCTGACTGTGGCCTGGATGGTGTTTTGTGATATAATATGCTTGTCTTGTAGGCGCTGTTTAGTAAAGCTGTTGAAGACAAGATAAACCAACTCACAAGAGAATTAGAAGATAAGAAAGGAAAAGCTGCTAAGATTCTTAGAAATATCATTGACTTGTTTAACCAGGTCAGAACTAATCGTGGGATTTTGATTACCTTAACGTTATTTGGAAGATGGAAAGGACAATGTGTAACATTAAAAATTTAAGTGAAGACAGCCTGGGCTGGTGATAGCATATACAGTTGAGAGTTACAGTGAAATGGAGTGACAGAGATTTTTTTATATGCTTCCCTCTGACTTGTTGAATTCAGCAACAGTATGCGTATACGTTACTAATTTTTAAACCAACAAAATAATTCTTTGACAGGGGACATTTATATTGCTTATATAGTTGATATTAGAGTGGAACATGGCTATGGAAGAGCAATAATTGAGACAGGGAAGTTCATTAGTGATGGAACTAACATTTGAGTGTCTTGTATAATCCTTGCAGTAATCAGGGAAAAGTTGTTATTAGAATTTCCATTTTAAAAATGAAGAAACAAAAGCTTGTTTCTTTAAAAGTTTCAGTTGTATCTTACACCAGAGTTCATTTTGTCCATTTTACCATGATGCTTTCCATTGTACAGCTCAAAAAGGCTCGAAAGGAAAATTTGAGTCAGGCTGAAACCCTAAGTTATCCTTCTAATTTTATAGGTGAGAAGACAAAAGGCAAATTTCTTATGAGTTAGTTTCAGTATTCTTTGTATACCTTATCTTTCATGGATATCTTTATCCACACTCTAAATAATAATCAGCATGAGGACAACAAGCACTGGACACTATGCCTGATTTTCTAAGATGGTGAACATTCACCTGCAAGTTTTGCTTGTGTTAAGAGTGGTTTCTTCTGTTTTGTTTCCCAATCTTGCAGGCAGCTGGTGATGCTATTGCTGACATGCTGGTGATTGAGGCAATCCTGGCTTTAAAGAACCTGACTATACAACAGTGGGATGCTCTTTATACTGACCTTCCGAATAGACAACTCAAAGTTAAGGTCTGAGAGAGATGATTTTTCTGAATATTAACTAAGTTATTCTAAATCTTGCTATATAAAAATTTCAATGTATTATATTCTGGCCTATACACATTACTTAGAAAATAAGGCCTTATAATATCTTTCTCACATCTTTAAAAATTATAGAATAACACTGATAAGTATTTGGTTTTAAACTTTATTTTAAAGAATATTACGTGTACCTATGTATCACTTTTTTTTTTAAATATGGAAAAGTTAAATGGAGAGAAAACAAAATCATAAACAGTGTACCTAGCTTCAACAGAATTCTGTTATAACTCTATACATTCTGAATATCCCCCATATTATTTTTATAGCTTGTTGCTTCAAGTGAAAATATTTCCTCTGCATTATTTTTGATTCACAAATACTTCTTGAGAGTAGATGCTGAGAAATAGAATCTATGGGCTCAGAAATTTTAAAAGTCATTTCAGATAAATTCCTATTAGATTAGAATATAGATTTATATCAGACTATACATTTTTGTATTAGAATTATTGAAAGAAAGATAATAAGGCCAGAGTTCACACAAATGGCTCCTGATTACTCAAATTTGTATTTGGCATATTTAAGAAATTCTTTTCATAGCCCTCTTAAATCATTTGATCAATGATTACACTGGGATCCAAGGTATGATGTAGAATTAAGTCAAACAGTATTTACTGGCCATTATTTTAGTGGTAGCTATGAGTCCAAAGGTAATTCTTGAAGAGAGAAGTTGTACAAATGTTGAAATTAATAATTCTGACCTTGGAGAAATAAAATTTTAATGCAATTTCATCTTCTGTTTACCCTGATACTTCATTATTTCAGTGATGTAATTTGTGGTACAATAAACTGAAATATTGTCATTAAAATGAACGAGGTATAATCTTCTGGTGGGAATTATGTTGAATGGGCTATACTTTTGAAAGGGAGTATAATATAAGGAGTATGAAATGCTTGTGCTTAGGTTGCTGACAGGAAAGTTATTAGCACCACAGATGCTGAAAGACAAGCAGTTACACCACCTGGACTACAGGAGGCAATTAATGACCTGGTAAAGAAGTACAGGCTCTCCAGAGCGTTTGTCCGGCCCTCTGGTACAGAAGATGTCATCCGAGTGTATGCAGAAGCAGATTCACAAGTAAGCTGGGATATAGTTCTATTGAAAAAATTTGAATGAGAGTCTAATAACATAGAGGGAAGAGGAGAAACAATATGAGAAGAGAGAAAACCAATAGTATTTAGAATCTCACTATGGTAATTGTTATGTCTTTGAGATTTGTTTATAGAGCCTTTTAAAATCATTAAGAGTATAAAATTATCATGAGTAGTAGTGACACAGTTGAATAGATTTAAAGCCTGTTGGTCTAGTTCCCCTGATATTTTTCTTTCAATTTATTGTAGACTTCTTGAAAGTGTCATATTTCTAATGGGAACAGGAATAAGTAATAAACCCTTGATTTATACATTGAGAAGTAAATGATCCTTTTTAAACTGGGGATTGAGTCCAGGCATCTTCTACCATTGAGCTACATCCCCAACCTGCATTTTTTTTTTTTTTTTTTGAGACAGGGTCTCACTGAAGCTGGTCTCAAACTTGCCATCCTCCTGCCTCAGCCTCCCAAGTAGCTGGGATTACAGACATGTGCCCAGTTTAGATTATCCCTTTGTTCTCTTAAAAACATAATCCTGTGATTTTTAAACTGCCAGCTTTGTAGCCTATTTCTAAACCAATTGGTACTAATCATCATGAGTTCTTAACTTGCTTTTTAAATGTTTGCTTTAAATAACAGCCTTACTCTTTGCCTCTGCTATTTCTAGATGGGGTCAAGTCCTGAGGTCTGGAATTACATAATTTGCCTTCTTCACATACACCATATAGTCTGTCACCTCAAGCCCTTGATAAAAGTGTCTGCATAACCACGCAAAGTACACTGGTTGAAGAGGGTCTCAGATGGAGGCATTTCCAGTTAACTTATATAAGACCTGTATTATTATTTTTTAAACAGAAGCATAGGCCAGCTTGGAATACAGTGAGAATAACCTTTATGGGTGAAGGAGAGGGTAGCTGAGTTGCAAGAGTTATTTCTCTTAGGCCAACTATGGCCTTCTTACCTGTTAAAGGGACTAGGTTTTATTGAATTTATTAAGTTTTGGAATAACTAATTTTATAACCTGAATTGATTAACTGAAAACTTACCTTATATAGAAGACTTTGACTTGCTTTCCATTTATCTAAGTGCCTTGGAATTTGTTACTGAAAGATGAAAAAAGAAGTTTTCATTTGAATATGCTAGTGAAACAAAATCAGGAAATACCCTCCCCTGGAATGCAACTAAAATATAGCAGATGCCATGTCTTTCTCATCTCCCTTTATGTAATTTGCAGGAAAGTGCTGATAGCCTCGCACATGAAGTGAGCTTGGCAGTATTTGATTTGGCTGGAGGAATTGGAGAAAGACCTCAACCAGGTTTCTGAAGATCATTTTTATATTCTGAGAAAATGGATTTTTTAAGTTTTGACAAAACTGTCAGTAATGGTAGTATCCAGACATTTATAATGTACCTTATCAGTTGTTTCTAGATTTGTTTTTTCTAAAACACTACCAGAAAATTTCTTGAGAAATACACACACTTTATAACTTGTTAAAGAAGCTTACCTCTAATTTCATTCTCACTCATGTAAAAATGTTAGGGCATAAATATAATTTAATCATTAATTTTGCAGTGTATGCCAGGAATAATTCATGCAGGTTGCTCAAAGATTAAATTTTATTACCACCTTCTTGTGATATTTTTGGCATCGCCGTTACCCAACCAAGATGCAACCATCCTTGATACAAATGGGAGCGTGGAAAAGATTTGACACAACCAACTTTTTCATGGGAGATCTTAATAAATATGAGATGACTTACCTGTCTGCTTAGCACCATCAGGAAATGAGAGGTGGTGGGGCCTGTGTTGTCTTTCTGAGGCTATAGGGTCCAACCTTCAGTTATTCTTCATCCTCTTAGTGAAGGTATGTGAAGAGAACTGAATCTAGTATGTTACTAAGCCTCTGATGGCAAAATGACACCATTCCAATACTAGAACATGATTCATAACAGAAAGGAAAAAGTCCCCAATCTAAATTAAACCGAGCCTGAAACCAATAGAAAAAAATGTGCAGTGTGTATTTTGCAGATTTAAGACAACTGAGGACAATAAAACAATGGACTATATATGTATATATAGATCTCTCATAGGCACCATAATCAATATGAGCCAACAATATTTAAACTTGATTCAGGTCACATCCAGACATTAGCTCTTATTTACAAATTTTTAAATTAAATACAACCTGAAGTGTGTTTTGTTACAAAAAAAAAAAAAAGAAAGAAAAGAAAAGAAAAAAGAAACTATACAACTCAGAGCAATGTGTCTGTTTGTTTTAAATAATTACATTTACATTTAAACTAAATGGAATCACTGGTGGTGCTCAAGTTTTTATCACTCCTTCGAGAAAATCCTTTTCTACCATCTCTTCTATTTTTTGCCTGGCTTTGCTGGAAAATGGTTTGTGGTTTTCCAGTTTCATGTCCTTAGTAGGGAAGGTGTTTGAGTAGAGGATGGGGCTCCCTGAGTGTCCTCCACACCGACTTGTGACTTTGCTGTTGAAGACTTGGCTGAGGACATTGAAGAATGGCAGCAGCTGTTCCATACTGCGCACCGTGCAGATGGTGAGCAGCAAGTGCCCTGGCTCCCAACCCAATGTTCTCCCTGAGTTATCTTCCTCTGGATTTTTCTGCAGAAAACAAAATTGAAGTTGTTATTAGACTATATGTTAGAAAAATTAAAAGGACCTAAACAGCAAAGTTTAAAACCCTTGCTTCTGAGGCCCTTTTAGTGCCATCTAACACCCCTCTTGTAGTTATATTTTCCAGTAGAATGCATAGCTAAGTTTATTTAATAGAAATGATTCTAGATAAATATAAAAGCTGATGGTATGCTTTAGCATATACTCAAAAAAGCTCCTAGGTTTTTGGATTCTCACTAACATAACCAAGGACTAGATCAGAGAATTAAGAAAGCTTTATGTATTTCACCATTAGTAAATCAATTAATTTCCTTTTAACTAAGTAACCTAAACTTGCTAGAAGATAATAGCAGGGTATATAAGTGAATAATTACTGTCAATATTGCAGTACCAAGGAAGGAAGGGATCCTTCAGGGGAGACACTGCTATCATTTTCTGGGGAGGGAAGGAAAGCTGGACCTTGAGTCAAAGGAACTGGGTTAGTGCCCTGGCTGTGACATTTACTTACTGTTACATACCTGGGTAAGATATATAAAGGTTCCTCACTGATAAAATGTGAAGTCAAATGAGAATGTATGTGAAAACTCAACTAATGTAAACACCAATAATTTCTTTATTAAGTTAATTCAAGACACTAATTAATACTAACAACTACAGAATCAGTCTATCTAGATCAAAAGATATGAATGAACGGAAGATGTTTAGATTTGGACAAAATTGTAACGAAAATAAAATAATGAAGTAGATATAAAAAAAGGAAACATCATTGAGACTTAGGAAAGAAAGTATAGCTTGTCATATTCATTCACAAATGAAGTTTCCTTTCTAAGATCAGATATTGCTGAGAAACTTCCATTGTTTACCTAATTAATATTTTAGCATCATCAGTTTCCTAGCGGAGAAAGCAGATGCAGATCTAGCTTATCATATGTGATATCAAGATTTGTTTATTTTGGTGGTGCTGGGAAATGAACCCAGGGCCTTGTGCAGGCTAAATGTTTGTTCTACCACTGAGCTACATCCCAGCCCTGTTTGATTTTTGTAAAATTTTAAGGAAAACATTTAAAACATAAGACTCCAAAAGCAAATAAGAAAAAAGACCTTTTAGTTTTTCATCTGTGGCTGAAAAAGTAAATACAACAACAAAACCCAACTATCCCTTAAATTTTACTTAATTATTTAACCTTTTATCTAGATAAGAGAATGAAAGATGTTTTTGTATTTTCTTTTAACTATGATATTGGCTTTAATGAGACTGATTTTCACATCACTGACTATCCTTATTCAACTACTGGCTGACCACACCACCTCTAGTCCATTAAATCAAACTGTAATTCAATGGTAATCAAAGGGTATAGAGAGATGAAATTATCTTGAAGGAAAATGAATACCATGCTTGTACCTTTTATGTAACTAATTTCCAAATGTAAGTGAATGATACAACCTTTCACTTATTTTTCTATAAAGATATGCCTTTCTGAGATAAATTTTTTTATTTAGCTCTTTGCCAAGAACACACTTTTATCAACATTTCTGCTGTTTTTATTCATAGGACTTTATCTTGTCCTCAATATTAAATCAAACTTGTTTCCATACAAACTTATTTCCATACTGATGAATTCAAAGGAGAAATCATTTGTTGTTGTTTCCATACAAATGATTTCTCCTTTGAATTCATCAGTCTACCCATAGAGAAAGACTTCCTTCCTGTTTACCTCTCTTACACTTGTTGAAATCCAGACCTGGGTTTATGTTTCACTATTTGGTCCAGATGTGACAGCTCTTGCTGCCATATCACAAGCATCAAACAGCCACCCTCACCTGATGCTTGGCCATCTCCACTCCCTCCAAAATCACTGTTTTAAAGTCCTCCTCCTTGTCCTGTGGAAGGAAAGAGGAGAACTCATAGCCTTTGTTCCAGTGAAACATTTGCTTGGCCATGAAGACCTTGTTTAAAGGGATTTGAATGGGAGATGATTTTCAATCAAAATTGTTACCTTATTCTGTAGGACAAGTTTTGGGCAAAAGACTGTCATACTTATCCTTTAGATAAGGGAGAGTTCTTAGTAAATATTCTCATTACTAATGAGATAAAGGAAAAATAGGGCACATGCCTGGGGTCATACAGATTTGACATGATTATTTTTTCAAACCCTATAATATCAATCAAAGTAAAAGTAATTCCTGTCCTAAACTGTGGCTCCAACTTTCATTCATATTTTGTCCTTTTATTTAGCTTCTAAAAAAGCAACTGTGATGAAGTTCCTTATGTCCTTCAAGTAAAACCTTTGAAAATCACTTTTCTCCATGTGGACTTTGGTTTAAGAGCTGCTGCCTGCTTAGGGGACTTCATAGGGCCTGGCAATTTCTGAGTACTCAAAGCACATACTGCAAACTAGATCTCACAAAATAACCTAGATTATCCCCAAATTTTGCAGTTTATTTTTCAAAAAAAATATACAAGACAAAAATTAATAACAAAGGCCCAATAATGAGCATGCCAGGTTCAATACTTGTTAAAAAATTTATTTATTTACTTATTCTAATCAGTTATATATGACAGCAGAAAGTTCTTCGATTAATTATATATGAATGGAGCACAATTTTTGACTTTTCTGGTTCTACCCACTGCACCAGAAATTTTCTTTTTTATTAATTTTTAAGAATTTATATATGATAGCGGAATGTCATATAAATGACATTTATAATGACATATAAATGTCATTTTCCTATTTCTGGTGTATACAAAGTATATTCACAAGGTCAGTTTATGGAGTGCTTGCCTTGCATACACAAGGCCCTGGGTTTAATCCCCAGCACCACACCAAAAAAGCAAAAGAACAAGATTCTCAATACTCTTCTCTAGAAGAAGCTGGCATGCTCATTTCTGAGTGTGCTCAGAAATAAACCTGATGCATACTGAAAGATGTAAGAACATAAGCCATGACAGATTTTATAAATCTTATATTCCTACACTTACAATATATGTTTTAGATACATTCTCACTTTTTACCTTGAGAAATTTCTCTTAAGTGGATATTTTTGAGTTCCTTCACTATCTCTCTTACAGAGGTAATAATTTTGATCAGTGTTTTAAAATCTGCAGGTTGGAGGTAGGGTCTTGACAGCTATTAAAATGGAATACTGTATCAATAATAGGAACTATATGGAAGAAAATACTTCATTTTAAAGGCAAAGGTTTTTTGTGAGAAATTTTAGATTCTGTTATGTAGCTATACTGGGTCAGGATATGGAATGCACGTCTTTCGGTCACAATCAAAACTGAACAAATTCTAAGCATCTACATTTTACTTCATATGAATGGAAAACAAATACTAGTGATTATTCCTCCCTTATTAATCTGATCAGGTTCTGAGTTTTGATTAACTAATCCTGTCAATTTATTAAACTTATGTATAATCTATACACAAACTTACTGGCTCGTATTGAAGTCAATCTTACATTTATTCTACAAATCCCTTTTAGTACTGCATTTTTTCTCAATCAGCTCATATCTTTCTGATTCTCATCATGGCATTAAAATGAACATTATGGGTATATCCTTACAGAACTAGAGTGCTAAGTACTTACATGCATGGTTCCAAGATTTTTATTCTTTTATTATAAGTATAAAATATTTTAATCTAGATGTTATCAATGTACAAAAGACTTCCTTTTTCTTCTCATTTAAAAAATTAATAGGTAGGCTGGGGATATAGCTCAGTAGAGTACAGGATACAGGACTTGCCTAGCATGGATGAGGCCCTGGATTCCACCCCAGCAGCACCACACATGCACACACAGGCACAAATAATGATAACCAAATGTTCATTTAAGACCCACACAATGTATATTTTAAATTTTTGTGAATATTAGGCTTATGGATATTAATTCTCAAAATTACTGTCTTCAAAGTAGCTCAACTTGATAATATCCTCAATTTCCTAGGAAATATTTAATACGTGCCTCACAAATGCAGTAGTTTC